TACCAGAGGAGCTCCAGTCAAGACCCACAAGCTCCAGATCCTATTCTGCACTCAGCTACTCTGCACTGCAATCTGCTTGCCCCTGCCTCAAAGTCATTAAAAACCAGACAACCTTCACTCTCTCCGATCGTGTTGCTTTTGGGTCCTGCCACTCTCCGTGTCAGTACAGTCTGGTCAGTCATGGACCCAGCACACAATCCTACTCTCCTGAGCCGACTTGAGAAGATAGAAGCCGTCATCCAGCACCATAATGTCAGCAGCCGCCTCCGACTCCCGGCAATCCTTCGCGGCACTAGTCGACTAACTACAGCAACTGGTATCTATGGTGGCTCAGCCCACTGCCCCTCCTGCACCTGTACCAGCTCCTGACCCCGTGCTACCCATGGGTGCCCCCGAACCTCGAGTTGGAACCCCTGAGCATTATGATGGAGACCCAGAGACCTGTGGCCCCTTCCTGACAAACTGCTCCCTGCTGTTCTCCCTCCAGCCCTGTACCTTTGCTTCCGAGCAGGCGAAGGTAGCCTGCACCATCAACCATCTGACGGGCCGGGCTCGTCTGAGGGGCACCGCTGATTGGGAGAGACAGGCCCCAGCCTGTGTCTCCTTCCAGTCCTTTGCAGAGGAGCTACGTAAGGTCTTCGGTCTGGGGGTCTCCAGCTCCGAGGTCGCTCAGGGACTATTAACACTAAAACAAGAGAGCAGGACGGTCGCTGACTACACCATCGATTTCCGCACCAGAGCCAGTCGGAGCCGCTGGAACCCTGCAGCCCGACTACCTCAAAGATGAACTGGTCTCGTACGAGGTTCCCCCCACACTTGACGGAATCATCGAGTTAGTCATAAAGATTGATCTCCGCATTCAAGCCCGTAGACTGGAGAGACGTCAGGGGGTTTCCCATTGCCAGACGCCAGTCCAGTCCAGGGCGGGTCCCACCCAATCGTTCACCTCGCCTACTCAGCGGATGAAGGAGTCTGAACCCATGCAGTGGGACCACACCCCTCTCACCCCAGAAGAACGGGAGCGTTGTCATCGCCTGAACCTGTGCCTGTACTGTGGGAAAGAGGGTCACATTGTGTCTGCCTGTCCGGTAAAAGACAAGGCTTATCCATAGCCAGGGAGGCACGGGTGAGCTTGACAACTCTACCTCCCTACCACCACAGACCGCATCTCCAAGCCCGGCTCCTCCTTCCAGACGGTCATCTCACCTTGGCTGCCCTGGTGGACTCTGTGCCGATGCCAGCCTCATGAGTAAGGAGTTGGCCCAGCAGTTGGGGCTCAGTCGGGTTCCCCTGTCTCTTCTGGTCCTCACCAGGGCTCTTGACGACCACCGACTGGGTACCATTACCCACCAGAACACCCCGGTTCCCATGCTCCTGTCCAGCAATCACCATGAAGCCATCCAGTTCCACATCCTGAACTCTCCTGGCCTGCCACTCATCCTGGGCTATCCTTGGATTCGGCGACATAACCCTCACATCGACCAGGAGACTGGCTCTGGCCGTGAGTGGGGAACATCCTGCCACCTCACCTGCCTCAAGCATGCCTGTTTGCCATTCCACTGTCCCATCACCAGTCCTTCACCTGATGTCTCCGGGGTGCCTTCCAAATGCCATGGCCTCCGGCAGGTTTTCAGCAAGGCCAAGACCACCTCTCTGCCCCCGCATCAGCCCAGTGACTGTGCCATAGACCTCCTGCTCGGCACCTTGCCCCCTAGAGGTTGCCTGTACTCTCTGTCTGCCCCCGAATGGACGGTCATGGAGACTTACATCAATGACTCCCTAGCTGCAGGCATCATCTGCCCCTCCTCATCTCCTGCTGGGGCGGGCTTCTTCTTTGGGGAGAAGAACGATAAGACCTTAAGACCCTGCATTGACTATTGGGGCCTGAACAAAATCACAGTCAAGAACCGCTATCACCTGCCACTCATCTCTTCAGCCTTTGAACTGCTTCAGAGGGCCACCATCTTTACTAAGCTCGATCTCCATAATGCCTATCATCTGGTCCGCATCAGAGAGGGGGACGAATGGAAGAAGGCATTCAACACCCCTGCAGGGTACTACAAGTACCGGGTCATGCCTTTCGGTCTCACTAACGCTCTAGCCATCTTTCAAGCCCTGGCCAATGATGTACTCCGTGACATGCTCAACCGCTTTGTCTTTGTTTACTTGGCGACATCCTCATCTTTTCGAAGACTCAGAAGGAGCACCTTCATCATATTCAAACTGTGCTCCAGCGCCTCCTTGAGAACTCCCTGTTTGTTAAGGCAGAGAAATGCAAATTTCATGCCTCATCTGTCTCGTTCCTGGGGTACATTGTGGCCACGGGAAGCATCCATATGGATCCTACAAAGGTCTTTGCAGTCACCTCCTGGCCTGTTCCTGACTCCCGCAAACAACTGCAGCACTTCCTGGGGTTTGCCAATTTCCATCGTCGCTTCATCAGCAACCACAGCGAGATAGCAGCTCCTCTTACTGCCCTCACCAGCTCCAAGGTGGCTTTCCAGTGGTGTTCTGCTGCCGATGAGGCTTTCCTGACCCTGAAAACCAGATTCAGCTCTGCACCCATCCTCCAGATGCCAGACCCAGATCGCCAGTTCATGGTGGAGGTGGACACCTCGGATGTGGGGGTAGGGGCTGTCCTGTCCCAAAGATCCGCCTCTGATCAGAAGCTTCACCCCTACGCCTTCTTCTCTCGGCGCCTGTCTTCTGCCGAGACAAACTACGATATCGGCAACTGGGAGCTATTGGTAGTGAAGCTTGCGCTAGAGGAATGGCGGCATTGGCTGGAGGGCACCAAGGAACCCTTCTTAGTGTGGACCAACCACAAGAACCTTGAGTACATCCGCACTGCCAAGAGGCTGAACTCTCGCTAGGCTTGCTAGTCGCTCTTCTTCACCCGATTCAACTTCACTCTCTCCTACCACCTGGGGTCCCGCAACATCGAGCCTGATGCCCTGTCCCGGCAGTTCCTGAAGGGGAAAGATTCCGCTGAGGGGCCTGCTCCCATCCTTCCCTCCCCCTGTGTCATAGCCTTCCTATCCTAGGACAGGAGAAAGTGAGGGCAGTCACTGAGGGTCAACCGGGTCCCAGCGCCTGTCCCCCCAACTGTCTGTATGTCCCTGAAGCCCTGAGGTCAGAGGTTCTGCAGTGGGTTCATGCCTCCAAGTTCACCTGCCATCCTGGTGCCCAACGTACTGCTAGCCCACCCTGGAGGAAGACATCCGCAATTTTGTTAAGGCATGCCCCATCTGCAACCAGCACAAGGCATCCCATCAGGCTCCTGTTGGACTCCTCCAACCCCTTCCTGTCCCACATCCGCCCTGGTCCCACATCTCCATGGACTTTGTCAAGGGCCTTCCACCCCCAGACGGTAACACAGTCATCCTCACAGTTTTCAACCATTTCAGCAAAATGGCTCACTTCATCCATCTGCCCAAGCTGCCGTCAGCTAAGGAGACAGCGCAACTGGTCCTGTGCCACGTCTTCCATCTGCATGGCCTCCCTGTGTATGTGGTGTCCGACCGGGGTCCTCAGTTCTCCTCAGGCCTCTGGAAGGAGTTCTGTAGCCTGATGGGACCTACCGCCAGTCTCTCCTAGGGATTCCACCCCCAGTCCAATGGGCAGACAGAGCGTATGAACCAGGAGATGGAGACTGCCCTCCGCTGCATGGTGTCCCAGAATCCATCTTCCTGGTCCAAGCGACTCCTGTGGGTGGAGTACGGCCAAAATTCCCACCCTAGCTCTGCCACGGGCCTCTCTCCATTCCAGTGCATCTATGGCTATCAGCCTCCGCTTTTTCCGGCCTTGGAGAGAGAGGTCTCCTGCCCGTCAGCACTAGCCCTCGTTCGCCGCTGTCACCGAACCTGGGCCCAGGCTCACTCTGCCCTCCAGCGCGCCGTTGAGCACTACGCTGCCTCGAACAACCGGTGGCGTTCTCCTGCCCCAGGCTACCAGGTTGGCCAGAAGGCGTGGCTCTCCACCTGAGATCTGCCTCTCCAGGTGGAGCCTAAGAAGCTGGCAACCAGTTTCATTGGCCCTTTCCCCATCTAGAGGGTCATCAGTCCGACAGCGGTGAGACTCAAGCTTCTTCGCTCCATGCGGGTTCACCCCACCTTCCATGTGTCGAAGGTGAAGCCGGTCCACGAGAGTCCTCTGTCACCGACTGTTCCACCTCCTCCTCCGCCTCGCCGGATTGATGGGGGTCTGGCTTACTCCATGCGGTGCCTGCTCCGGTCCCATCGTCATGGGAGGGGACTTCAGTACCTAGTGGATTGGGAGGGCTACGGTCCAGAAGAGAGGTTTTTGGTTTCTGCTACCGTGCCTTCGGGGAATCCCCGCCCGTCGGCCCGCACCTCTTCCCGGCCTGATCTCCCTGTTGGGGAGCCATCAGTCGACACGGACTCCGACCACTCGGGCTCCTCTGATGATCCTGCGGAGAAGCCATCTGTCGACATGGACTCCGAACACTCGGGCTCCCTTGAGGAACCGGCTGAGGGGATGGACTGGTCCGGCTCAGAAGAGTATTAGGCCCTGCCTTCAGCCCTCTCCGCCCGCTCGGCCTTGGTGGTCCTTCCTTGTGGGACGTTGGGAGCCGTCCCTTGAGGGGGGGGGGTCTGTCACAGTCTGCTCTGCTGCCTCTCCCTCTGCCTGGGCACACCCCTTCCACTGCAATTGCTCTCAGCTGAGTCTCGTTACCCAGCCAGTACTTAAGGAGCTCTGTTTCACTCACTCTTTGCCAGATTGTTGTTGCAGCGTGCACTACTCTCCAGCGTTTACCTTCGATCTGACTTCCTGGAATCGGCTCTGCCTGCCTCTGACTACGTATTCTTGTTCCTGCCCCGGTAAACCTGATTGCCTTCAGCCTCTGACTCTGAGTTCTGCCTGTGTGCTTCCTGGTTCCCGTCTGCCTTCTTCCAAGCCCCTGTCCAAGCCACCCGTCTTGCCACTCCACTGCCTGCCTGTGTGGATATGGCCCGGTCTGCCGCGCCTCAAGCCCACCTGCTCCGGTGGCCCAGTGGTAACTCTCCCGCTTGCAATGTGGGTGACCTGGGTCCGAATCCCGCCATTGGCGCCTGCTCCCTCAAGTTACCAGAGGAGCTCCAGTCAAGAGCCACAAGCTCCAGATCCTATTCTGCACTCAGCTACTCTGCACTGCATTCTGTTTGCCCCTGCCTCGAAGTCATTAAAAACCAGTAAACCTTCATTCTCTCTGTGTTGCTTTTGGGTCCTCCTTTGGGGCCACTCCCCGTGTCAGCCGGTTAACTAATGCCTGTGCACACTACGAAAAAATTACAAGGATACAACAGATCTCAGGGGCCATTAAGAATTATTCTCATCCTCCCCACACATACTTAACCTAATACTGCATAATTCCCTTTACTTTTTTAAAAATCAGACTACTTATCACATTTTTGTCTTTTTCCCCTTTCCTTTAACAATTATTGTGAATACTGTTGAGGGTAATTCCGTGTCAATTCACCAAATTTCAGAAAATCTTCCCACATGACCACTTCAAGTTCAAGAGATAGGTGGGATGTGTTTTTTCTCATTTTTGATCGGCAATATCTCAGATGCTATTTACTTCACATTGGTAATTTTTCAGAAAACCATGAACCTAGTCCAAAAGACACCCCCTACAAAATATCAGCCCCCTGTCATAAAAACTGATGAGTTTACAGGCCCTTAAAAGTGCTGCCACAGTTCGCAAATAGAAATTTTCAACAGAATCTAGGGGCCTATTACTGCATGTTACACATGAGCCAGACTGCTGAAATTTTAATTATGTACAGATGTAGCACCAGATATTTGACATACAAACTTTGGAGGTCCTACCTCAAGTACTTTTTAAGATATTCCAGCTCAAAATGAGAACTTCAGAAGGCGATGCTAAAATAAAAGGCTAAAAATCGCCCAAACCTTTGTCCTTTTAATAATTTTTTGTGGCCAAACTGATTTTGGGATTATTCTATTAAGAAGTGAATCCACTAACATGATTTTTTTCAAGAAAATCTGAGGGGGTCATGCGGGAGCCATTCGGTGAATTGACACCAAATGACCCTTAATTTTCTGAATTGTCATGGTTTATATTACTTGTTAATCTGTCTTGACTGCTCTTTTGTTGTCTCTTTTCTTTGAGCTATATTCTGTTTTTATCTCCTTCTTTGTTTTTGTTTCATTATTGTTTGATGTCTTTATGCATTTTCCCCCCTCCAAATCATCCAGCAGTTTGTCTGTTACAAGGTTGTGTTTGATCAAATGTTGTTTGATTTGGATTATCCCCCTGCTGTAAAAACCTTTCCCCTCGTACCCTTCCCTCTCAGGATTATCTCTATGATCTATGATGACTGTTAATAAAAAATAAAGCTGACCTTCCATGGGGGGGGTTGTGGTGGGAATAATTAAATAATTAAATAAAGAAACAAGGAAAGACATAAATACTCCCCTTGTAGACAGTACCCTGAATCTGCATTTTGTTCCTTGTCTGTATCATAACACGAGCAAAAAAGGGGATATTTAAAGTGGTAATCCGTAAGATTTCCGTCTTGTTACTGTCTGTTAAGTTAGTGTCTATCAGAGAGGGGGGATAAAACAACGGTGATTGGGCCTATGACCCACTGGTGAAAGCACTTGTATTTCATTCTTTGCCAGGTAAAGCAATCAGTGTGTCTGTGGCGACATTCCCACGCTATATTCAAATACAGGCGCACATCTAGTGACGCTTTTTATGTCAGTAAGCAGTGTTTGGTCTGTCCAGAAGGTGGGAGGAGCTGCAAGCTAGCTTGAAGGAAGTAAGGAACCCCGGGAGAAGCAATGGCACAGTAGACGTCAGAAGGGATCCAGTTGCGGTACTTTCCCTAGCCTGAACCTTGGCTCTATCCCCTAACCCTAAATCTAACATGTCCCTTACATTATATGTCAGTTTTTCGGATGGAATTAAGGGAGGACCGTTAAAAATGCATCCTTCCAAGAGGCGGAAAGTACCGCTACTGGATCCCTTCTGACGTCTACCCAATGGCAATGGCAAATACCATACTGTGTAGCTATACTGTGCACAGTAGAAACTAACGTTAGCCGAGTATCTGTTGAGGCTACTACTGAAACTAAAATTATAACATAATTTCAGGAAGCAAACGGGGAAAAAAGCTACGTTAACTGCCTCGACAAATTATTTTTATTAAAAAAAAAGTTATAACGTTACCAGTTAACCAACTACCGTTTTTATTATTTACACAGGGCTCTCAAATTTCACATATTCGGCTTGAGTTTAAATGACGTTCACGTTCCCGTGCTGTAGTCAGAAATTATTCTATCAGACCGTTTGTAGAGATTCTCAAGTGGAATTGAAGTCCTTGTGCATTGAAGTTTATCAGTTTCACATGTGTTATGGTGGATTTCGCCACTAGTAATATGAGAACAATTATGATTGCGAAATTCTTCACTCAGGGGTTGGAAGCAGTGGAATTGCAAAAAAATGTTTCAAATGGTCTTATTTCATTTAAACGATTTGAACGATCGTGAAACGCGCATTTCGTTGATTGAATAATTACTGACTACAGCATGGGAACGTGAATGAAGCACAAATTCTCACGGCGAATGCATGAGAGTTGGCAGCCCTTTAAGTTAATCGATTTATCATAATAGCCTAACATGTTACTGGAATGAGATGACGCTAATGGATGACTAACGTCACATAATTTTTACTTTTATTGAGTTCAATTGCCGTGTAAAAGAGCATCTTTCCCGTCTGCATGGGAGTTGAGGAGGCATGGAACTGATAAGAGTCGTCAATTTACCGACGTCATACAGGCGACTCTGTTGGGTCTCGACAAGAGTAATGGGAAATGAGGTCCAGAAGCGCACCTGCAATTACAGTTTACTGTCAAAGATGTTAGTATATAAACAAACCAATTCAAATCTTACGGATTACCACTTTAAAATGTACTGCATCGTATTGAGGCAGTCTCAGTCCAGACGTTTCTTTTTGAGGAAACTGAAACTGAAAGGTATGTTGGGTAGTGTCCTTTTTATGCCGTACCTTGCTGGGGGGGCAGCATATCTGTGGATGATAAAAACAGGATCAATAAATTAAATCAAGAAAGCTGTATCAGTCATTGGCCTAACCCCAGACTCACTCAAGGTCACTTTAGAAAAGAGAATAAGATCATAGCTGAAAATGATACTGCTCTGTGAAAACCATCCACTACAGTGTTTTTAAAGGATTCAGGAGCTCTTTGAGTGACCGAATAGTGATGCCTCATTGCTCCTCTGAATGACTGAGAGGGTCCTACATCCTTGCTGCCATCAGATATTTCAATGAACACTGTTCATGTGGTCTGCTGTTGTTTGTTGTTGTTTGCTGTTCGTTGTTTGTACAGCTAGGCTGGTGGCTTTTATTAGGGCCCAAGCACCAAGGGTGCGAGGCCCCTATTGTAACTGCAGTGTTTTTTATTAGGGCCCATGCACTGAGGGTGCGAAGACCCTGTTGTAACTGTAGTGTTTTTATAATAATAATTATAATCATAATAATAATTATTATTGTGATTCTGATTATTATTCCCAAATGAAAATCACATTTTTCAGGCCTTTCCCATGGGCAGAAAGTCATCAAAATTGGCACATGCATAGGGCCTGGCAAAAAAAATTGATTATTTTATTGCTAATCCACATGAACACATCAAAATGGCTCTGTAGCACCACCTAGACTTACATTTTAACATTTAACCTACAGTCACGAAACCTTTGCCGAATGATGTATCATACCAGAATCTACAAAATAGTCTTACGGAGTCTGACCCAAAATCCGCCATTTGAATCCTAAAAGTCTTAAATATTTGGAGGGCTTGTATTTGAACGAACTGCTCCTACAGTTTTTCTCCAAACAACTTCAAATTTGGTCAGAGTCATGTGGCTTGTGCAATCTTAAGTTACTGAAATTGTGAGTTTTCATTTATGGGCGTGGCCTTGATGGTGTGGCAAATTCTAAGGTCTCACCATGAAACACGAGACTGCTATAATTTGCACATACATCTTTCAGTCTCCACCAAATTTCAGAAATATGTTCATTCTTGTGTACTAATAAAATCAGCATATCAATTGAGCTTGGGCGTGCCCTGATGGCTCTATAGTGCCACCAAACACATGGCCATTTTGGCATCAAGATGCTCAGATTTTCATGAAATGTTGTGGGGTGATAGGGTTCTTAATGAAGTTTTTTTCTTTTTTTAATATTTTGGCCAAACAGGAAGTGAGCTATGAGCCATTTCCTGCATTTTTCCAAATTTTATAAACGCATTTTTGAGGGCATTAGCATGCTCGAAAACTTTGCACATTAGTTAAAATTGTGATGATCTTCAATTTGATATCCCAATTGGCCCTGCGCAAGGCACACTGACTCTATAGCGCCCCCTAATCTACAAATACATTTTTCAGGATCTCAGCATGCTCGAAAACTCACAAAATTTTGCACAAGCATAAAGCCTGGCATATATTTTACTACACTCCAACTCAAATAGGAAATCCACCATTTTGAAATTTCCCAAAAATCTAATTTGTAGGGCTCGTATTTGAACTAACTTCTCCTACAGTATTTATCCAAATGTGTTCAAATTTGGTCAGGGTTATGTAAAGGCTTATGCAATCGAAATGGTGAGTTTTCGTTGATAGGTGTGGCTGCGATGGTGTGGCAAATTCTGATGTCTCGCAATGAAACATGAGATTGCTATATTTTGCACATACATCGTTCAATCTCCACCAAATTTCACATATATGTTCATTCTTGTGTACACCGTGTCCCAAAAGTTCATGCACCACAGAAAAAGTCAACTCAGATTGTGAATATTCAACAGAATGCGTTAATTAAAAAGCCAGTGTATCCCCCCTGCATCTTAATTACTGCCCTCAGCCTATGGGGCATAGAATGCACTAAGTTGTTTAGAACGGAAGACTCAAACTTTCCCCACTCCCGCACAGCCCTCGCATTGAGCTGCTTCATGGTGATAGGGGACGGGCTGTGGATGACCCGACTGTTCAGGATACCCCAGGAGTTCTCAATCGGGTTGAGGTTCAGGGAGTTG